AAACGAATTCAGGCCTCAAGTTGCAATACTTAGTATTGCTGATGTCACAATCTTAAATGATCCAGAAATCATCAAAAGGAGATGAAGAGAATATTCAAGAGTCACTACCAAAAATGATTGGCCATCACTGAAATATTCCAGGAAGTACCATATGATCAAGAGCCAATGATGATGAAGAAAGAAACTGAAGCTACACTGAAAATATTAGCAAAATATAAAACCTCAGGAGTCAGTTGACTGTCAATTGAAATATTTCAAATGCAACTTACAACCCTGGATGTGCTCACTAGTCTATCCTAGGAAATTTGGAGGACAACTGCTTGGCCGAACACCTGGAAAAAAATCCTTACTTGTTCTCATTCCCCAGAAAGGGGATTCAACAGAATGTGGAAATTATCAAACAATATCCTTAAAATCACATGCAAGCAAAATACTGCTGAGGATCATTTAAAAACAGCTGGAACAGTGCATAGTGAACTTCAGGTGTTAAAGCTGGATTTAGAAGAGGCCGTGGCATCAGAGGTATCAGATGGCTCCTGCCTGAATACCGGAAGAATTTCTATTTGTGCTTTATAGACTATGTGAAGGCATTTGACTATGTGAATCATAACAAATTATGGCTAACAGTGAGAAGAGTAATGGAAATCCCAGAACACTTAATTATGCTTGTGCGAAACCTATACCTAGACAAAGAAGCTGTTGTGGGAACAGAGCAAAGAAACCCTTGATGTTTTAAAATTAGGAAAGATGTTGTATCAGGCATCAGGGTTGTATCCTTTCTCCATACCTGTTTAATATATACTGAGCAAATTTTTGAGAAGCTGGAAATTGTGGAACCAGGACTGGAGGAAGACATATCAATAACCCTCATTATGCAGATGACACAAACTTGGCTTGCTGAAAGTGAAAAGGACTTGAAGTACTTACCTCACATGGTTAAACACTACAGTATAGATTGCATCTCACTGTCAAAAAAGGAAAAATCTTTGTCACTGGACTGAAAAACAATATCATGATGGACAGAGAAAGAATTGATACTGTCAGTGACTTCCTTTTACTTGGTTCCACAGTCAGTACACTTGGTACCAGCAGTCAGGAGATCAGGCAACATATTACACTGGGAAAGTCTGCAGTAAGGGATCTCTCCAAGTTATTGAGGAATATGATGTTAGTTTGAGGACTGAGAAGCACTTGATTTAGATCATGATCTTTTCAGTCACTTACTATGCATTTGAGAGTGGACAATGAATAAACTTGACAGAAGAATAATTAATGCCTATTGGAGAGCATTGCTTGAAGAAATCATGGACTGTAGCCAGAGTGTTCCTTGGAGGCAAAGATGATGAAACTTCATCTTATAAACTTTGAGCATGTTGCTAAGAGAAGTTATTCTTTTGAGAGGGACATCATACTTGGGAAGATAGAGGGGTAGGTAGCAAAGGAGTGGAAGACCCTACACCAGATGAGTTGGCATGGTAACTTAAGCAGTGGGCTTGAGCATGTCAGATTGTGAGGATGGCATGGGATAGGATACTGTTAAGGTCAATTGTTCAGAGGATCTCTATAAGTTAATACTTGACAGCACCTACCAAAAACAAATTGCAAGAAATAATGAAGATTTCCAATTTTTTAAAGTAGACCTAATGTTACCGTGCCTTGTGCCATAAATGGAATTACGTGGTTAATATGTGAAGATGAATAATAAATGGAAGCATTTAATAACAACACATTACTCACATTGGAGTCAACTCAGCTGACATTCCAGTGGGTTTGGGGGAGGCAGGAAATCTCAAGTGAGGAGTTTACTCATTTTTTTCTCATAAAGCTGCTGGTGGGTTACAACCACCAGAGAAGCTCCACCTTTGGATTAGCAGAGCAGCTCCTTACGGTCTAAGCCGCCTTGGCTATTAATAGTAATGTCCATCCCAGCATAATTTGAAGAGTGTTTGATGTTGAGATCTCACATATTCTTAAAAAAGTCTTGAAGTTCTAAATAAGCTTTGCCTTATGACTTAACTAATGATAATTTTAAATTTTATTTTACAGAATTTTGTTCATTAGTTTTAAATTATTGAAATCAAGAAAGAAATTATTTGTTTATATAGCATTTATATTTGTATCTTATTTGTAAATCTTCAGGTGATCAGTTGGCATATGAAAATAGAAGAACTTCGTCTTCAAGAGCTTAAGCTAAATCGTGAATTGGTCAAGGATAAAGAAGAAATAAAATATTTGAGCAACATAATTTCTGAATATGAACATACAATCAGTAGTCTAGAAGAAGAAATTGTACAGCAAAATAAGGTTTCATTTTACATTTATTTTTGGGTTTTTTTTTATTAAAATGTAAAACATATGCTTAAAAAGGACTACTTTATTCTCCTAGTATAATGTAGTTCTCATTATTGTGTGTTATAAAGTATTCAATTTATTACTTAAACTATTCAAAATATGAATACTTACTCCATTGTTTTAATAATGATTTTACTTGGAAGGACAATGCATAAATAAAATTTAATTCCTATTTGCTTTTAATTTGATGTTACTTATTTAACTGTTCACATTTATAGTTTCTACCAGAGCTTTCAGTATGGAATTGAAGAGTAGTTAACTGTAGACAGAAGCATGTAGATTTTAGAGGCAGAGAATTTTGGATCAAAGATTTCTTTTCCTTTTATTGTTCTTAATACCAAATACATTTACTCTTGCTCAAATGTCTTATTTAATCAGTGCAGCCTTAACTAAGTAGTCCATAAACAAAAATAATCCTACTATCTAGATTTCCTCAGAAGAGATTACCTGGCTTAATTTTTTGTTTTCCGTCTGTCACTGCATTTCAAATGTTCATTTTCCTCAGCTTGCACCATCTGACATTACATATTTACTTTCTTGCTTGTTGTCTAACTTCATTAGAATCTAAGTTAGATGTTGTAGAAACTTGCTTTTGTCCTCTGATGTGTTTTCAATGTCTAGAATATTGCTTGGCACATAGTATAAGTTGTTTAGTAAGTGTTGGATGATGAGATGAGTGGATCGGTAAATGAATAGTTAGAGGCTTGTTGGAATGAAATTTTAACTGCATATTTTTCCTCTGTGAGGCAATTACTTTGTTTCTCTGAGTTTATGTCCTTTCCAGTAAAATGAGAATAGTAATAAATTTGTTACGTGTTGCCGAATCAGAACCCACTGACCCACCAGCAGGATGTCAGAGCTAGTAAACTGCACCGGAAGAAAGGGCCATCTTTCTCCTGTTGAATAGCTGTTATTTTCAAATATTTCCTTCAAACAACTCCTTACCCAGTTGACCACCAGCGCTCCTTTGAGAGTGATACTAGTAACAACAAAGAATATTGTGAAGAGTAAATGAATAGGCAGAATATATATCTAAATGAATATACAGAGTATATGTCTGATGATATTTCCCTGTGTGTACATAACACAAGTTGTCTTTCTGTCTTTCTTTTTTTTATAAGTTTCATGAAGAAAGACAAATGGCCTGGGATCAAAGAGAAGTGGAGCTAGAACGTCAACTGGACATCTTTGACCGTCAGCAAAATGAAATACTCAGTGCAGCACAAAAGGCATGGATGGTTAAATGAGATGATTTTATAGCTTATGGAGTATTGCCTAAGATATTAACTCATAGAAATAGTTTCTGAAGCCATGTGTAATTTTAATTTTATGTATGTATATTTAAAATAAGAATGGAAGGTAGCCTATATTTTGTTTTAGTTATAGACATTAGTCTTCTCAGTTCTGTAACGTTTCTTATCTTTGAATATTTTTTAAAATGAATTTTTATTTTTGTGGTTTTCAAGATTTATTGGTTTTTCATACACTCATTTACAAACTTGTTTTATCACTGTAACTACGAGTGATTAATGTAATTAGTACAACCTCTTGTTGTGTATGACCTTTCCCTTCACCCAGCTTATCCAGTTGTTTTTTAAAAAATAAATATTAATTCCTAACAGTTTGAAGAGGCTGCAGGATCAGTGCCAGACCCTAGTTTGCCCCTTCCAAATCAACTTGAGATCGCTCTGAGAAAAATCAAGGAGAATGTTCGAATAATTCTAGAAACACAAGCAGCTTGCAAATCATTGGAAGAGGTAACTCATACATTTGTGTGTTAATTATAGTATTACTGAGTATGTTTGTGTATCATTTCTTTCTAAATAATGCTTAGTAATGAAGACAAAGTAAGGAAGAAGAGAAATAGTATCTGTTGTTAATTAATCTTTCCTTTTCCTCTCTTCATTAATGTTTCTTATAGCCTATAAGAAGTAGCAGATAAGGCTATTTTGACTTCACTGTTCCTTCAGTCAAAAGTTATCATTTTGGGGCATTCTTATTAATAATGTTGAAGATGCTCTGGTGGCCTAATCCTTAGTGAGTTACTATGCTAACCCAAAAGCCTGTGCCTGCTGAGGTTTGAATTTGCCAGTGTTTCTGTAGGAGAAGAAAAAACCTACATAGAGGGAGACCTAATGGAGGGTTTCTGTGAATTGGAATTAACTTGAGCGTACAGTTTGAGTTTCTGTCTATAGTGCTGAGCTTGAAAACAAAGATAAAGCAATATAAGTGACCTTCCTCTCATATGATCAAGAATATATCATTTGCACAATTGTTAAAATATACTTTGGACTGCTAAGGGAACAAACAGGTTCGTCCTAGAGAGGGTAAAACCAGGCTCCATTTTGGAGTCAAGGATTCTGAAGCTTCATCGAACATGCTGTGGACATGTTGCAAGGAGGGACCAGTCCTTGGAGAGGGAATGTCATACTTGGGAGAGTGGAGACACAGCGCAGGAGAGGAAGACCCTCTATGAGGTGGATTGATTCAGTGACTGGGGTAATAGGAGTAGGTGTGTCAGAGACAGTGAGATTGGCACAGAATAAGAGCAGGCTTTAGGGCTATTGTATGAGTAGTTGCTTTGAGTCGCAGATGACACATAACAACAACAAACAAAGGTTGCATACAGCATTCAAGATCAATTTTGAGATGATTCCTTTTTTTGTGGATGGTAAATTCATTTGAAAATAAACTATAAATTGCTTATTAGTTTATTATAAGTCTTGAATTTGCTTAGTAGATAAAATCTGTCATCTTTATTAAATTATCCAGAAAATAAACGGAATGTTATTTTGATTATTATTAACTTTATTTTACTCTCTATCCATGCATATTAACAGTGATGTACTTTAAAATAATTTTGTAAATAAAAGTATATTTTAATTAAAGAAACTGATATTTTCTTCAGTAATTATAATAAGATCTGTCATTTCTGTGAATTGGCACTGAAATACTTGATTTAATAGATAGATCCACCTTAATCTTGGAAAGGAAATAAATTTCCTCTGTTTTGGTTTTCTTTCTCTTTTGTTTACTCATAATGATTCTTGCTGTCTGATTACTAAAGTACAAATACCTAAGCTTAGCCAAACTTTGTAGGTTAGTGTTGCAATTGTCTGATACTCAGTATAGACATAAATTAAAAGAATGAATTTGTATGGCTTCATGATTTTCTAATTCTAACACTAGATGATCTAAAGTCTTAATTAAATTTCGTATTTTTCACAAAGATATTTCTAAAATATTATGTTTTTAACTAAATAAATATATAATCAAGATAAGTATGCTATTGTATAGAAACATGATAGCTTTAACATTATTTAATATCAAATAAGTAAATGTTATTTGAAAAGTATAGTGAAACTTAAGAGTTTTGCTTCAAATGAAATTCAGGAGAAACTTTTTTTTTAAAGGAAAACAAATTTAAGAGTCTCATGAGCTAGCTGGACAGAAAAATGTGCTTTAACTTTCCATTATGAATTGATCTTCACAGAAACTGAAAGAAAAAGAGTCTGCTTTATGGTTAGCAGAGCAAAATATTCTTTCAAGAGACAAAGTAATCAATGAACTGAGGCTTCGATTACCTGCCACAGCAGAACGAGAAAAGCTAATTGCTGAATTAGGCAGAAAAGAGATGGAACCACAGTCCCATCACGCACTGAAAATTGCTCATCAGACCATTGCGAACATGCAAGCAAGGTTAAATCAAAAGGAGGAAGTGTTAAAGAAATACCAGCATCTCTTAGAAAAAGCCCGAGAGGTATTTGGTTGTTATTCTCTCCTATTTTATAACCTATTTTATTTTTTATTAAATGCTATTTTATTTTTTGTTAAATGCTAAAACATTCTATGCTGAAGTTATGACCTGGTAGTTTATTTTTTGTTTTCAAATAATTCCATTTAGGAATTGTCACTTTTACATGATTGGATTACAGATGTGTTAGAAAAATTGACAGTGTATATATGTGTATCTCTTAGCAGTGGATCAAATCAGAAGTAATTTCTAGAGTAATACCCTATGCTTTTGAAAAATAATAATTGAAGTTGTAGGTAAGAATTGAGATGAAATCTATCACATTGGTTATCAGTGCAAGCCATATTTGTTAGTGAAATGGTGACGGGATACATATTATTTTAATGTTAAACATATCATTTATTAAGTTTTGGTAGCTTAATATGTGCCAAGGGAGCTGAATACTAATCTAAGGATAGATAAATATTGATAATTATACCTTCCTAATCTCATAGAAGTTAATATTTAAGACTTGAATTTCTAGTTGCATTTGAATCATAATTTAAGATAACTTTGATTTGTTATAAAACAGGAACAAAGAGAAATTGTTAAGAAACATGAGGATGACCTTCATAGTCTTTATCATAAATTGGAACTACAGGCTGATAGTTCACTGAATAAATTCAAACAAACAGCTTGGGTAAGAATCTAAGAACCTTGTACTATTCTTTATTGTTTTAATGAAAGTTAACACAGCAGATTTGTTTTCCCGTCAGCAGTTTTTGTTTTAATTGTATAATTAAGCAAATACCAATTTATATGTTTAACTAAAAAGAAATTTTTAAAACTTATAAAAATATTAGGTACTTTCAATATCTTGAATCATAATGTTTCAGGATATTGGTTGTTGTCCCTACCGTTTGTGAATACTCTACCCCATTTCTACCCTGCTTTCCCTATTTCCAGCCCCTTTTTTCCCCCTGTCCTTTTTCATCCTAGCACTTGGGTAAGTTGCTGCTCATTTGATTTTGATTAGTTGATTGTTCTAAGGAATAAATTTGTCATAGACATTTTTTTTAAATAATCCTGTATATTGCACTGAAAAGTTGCCTCTGAGAATGACTTCCATTTTAATTTAAAAGAATAACTTAGGATGATGGTCTTTTATTTCCTCCAGAATCTATCATCTTTGTTGATTTCTGAGGCTATGAAATTTAAAATTTGTCTCTTTTTATTTATAGTAGAAGTCATAATACCTTTGATTGCTGTAATAATCTTCTGAAAACACAACTCTCATTACTCTTTTCTCTAGACAGAAATCCTTTAGTAGCTTACCATTGTCTGTTGTTGTTAAGTGCTACTGAGTTCTAGATGTCTCAGCGACCCTATGAATGAAAGTCTTAAAGAGGAAACCTTCATCTTTTATTTAAGTTCATAGAGTTTCTGGAGGCAAGCTTTTCTGGAAGTGGATGCCACTTCTGCTTCCAAGCCTGTTTTGTTCAAGAGCTCCACAAAAACCAGGCCCAAGGACCATAGGCCCTAAGGCCCCAAAGCCTTTTTAAATACTAGGCCAAATCCAATTAGCTCACACCCAGTTGTGAGCAACAGCCACACTCAAGTCTCAACCTCAAACCAGCCATTCTGCTCATCTTCCCAGACTGGAAGGTAGTCCCAGACTGGCCACCATGTCTTGGATATCATTCAGCCTCCATTGCAGTGAACTCCAAATTTCCCTTAGTCTGATCTCAGTTTTCCTTTTCAAATATACACGTTATCAGTTTCACATATATTTAACTGATCTTTCATAGTTCGGCCTATAGTAAATGCTGGTGCATATAGTTTGTGACCTCTTACGCTCTTAACCAAAAGGTCAGCAATTCAAATTTACCATCACTCTTTGGGAGAAATAAGGGCAGCTTCCTCTTATAAACAGTGATAGCCATGGATCCCTGATGAAGGGTAGTCATGTATGGCAACATGAAGGCGGTGGGTGTGGCTTTTTTATTGCTGTTTATACTTTACCCTTTTTGATGGATGTGTGAAATAACCTTTAATCTCTTGACTGTTCAAACCTAACCTGTATCCTTAAATCATTAATTAATCATCTTTTAATTATATACTGCATGCTGGCACCTTACTAGATCCTGGGAATACAAAGAATTGTCTTTATTGGTAGATAATTCTTTTTTAAACTTATATTATCTGTTATATTTTACAAGTTCTTTATCACATTTTGATTGCTGTTGTTGTAGTGTACCACAGAGTCAGAATCGACCCATAGGTGACCCTCCAGTGGGTTTTCAGAGGCAGTTAATCACATGAGGGGAGATTGCTCATCTTTTTCTTGCAGCTGGTGGATTGGAACTGCATGCCTTCATAATTGCAGTGCAGTTTCTCATCACTATGCCACCGAGCTCTCTGATGTTTGATGCTTGATTGAGGAGACAGTAAAATATACAATACTCTATGTGTTCATAGATAAAATATTCATATTCCATAGGATTTAATGAAACAGCCTCCTACTCCAGTTCCTACCAACAAACATTTTATTCGTCTGGCTGAGATGGAACAGATAGTAGCAGAACAGGATGACTCACTCTCTGCACTTCTGATCAAACTGAAGAAAGTATCACAAGATCTAGAAAGACAAAAAGAAATCACTGCATTGAAAATAAAAGAATTTGAAAATACAAAATTAAAGTAAGCCTTAGAAATATAGTGTTCTAAAATAGGTAAATGGTAATGTAGATATAATAATTGTAATAATTTATTATGCTAGGCACTATTCTAAGCCTTTTATATGTATTACCTGATTTTTATCTTCAGAAATCTATGGCATAGTTTATTATTTTTCTCAGTTTTCATTAGGAAATTAGGCCGCACAAAACTCAATAATTTTTCCAGAAGGAGATGGGAACCCTACATTTTAAACTGTTCTGTCTGGCTGAAGAGCAGACTTTTTTTTTCCCACTGGAAACTGATTCTTAACCTTTTTTTGCATTTTGGTTTCCTCACATGTAAAGTAGAAATATTAAGACTACCTCTTGCTCTTTCAGAGTAGGTATGTGAAGACTAAATGGTACTGCCTGTGAATATAATTTTAAAATTATAAAGTGGCATGTGCATATAAAACTTATGTTACTGCTATAATTGTCTGATACATAATAGAGGCTCAATACATATTTGTCAATGAAAGTTTAGCTATACTTTTTAAAGTACTATAATGACTGTTAAGAGTTCAACAACATTCTTTGTAGTAGAAATTCTAAACATTGCTCAACCAAGTAGCAGAATATAGATTTTTAAATGCAAACTAGGTTTGTACCAATTTTTTAATCATAGAACTATCTCTTTGTACCTTGTTGTTCTTATCTGAAAAATAAGAAGGTTGAACTACTTGGCCTATAATACCCATACCAACTCTGAATTCCTTATTATTCTTTTGATTCTTCATTAACTTATCCAGGATACTTTGGGCAAAAATAATAGTATTTCTGCTGTAAAAAATTATATACTACTTTCAAGAAAGCATTCTCTAAAATTGCAGACTTTTTTCCTACAATCTGTTAAATTTTTTATTAAATATTATTAGGTATATCTTGTGATTTTTTTTTTTAGAAAATAAAACAACTTGTAGTTTTGTGTCTATTTCCTAGATAGAAATAGTAATCATCTTTTGAAACTACTTTGTAAATGTTACTTTTACAATAACTCCCCAAAGTTATTTTCTACAATAGTGTGCTAATTAATGGTTGAAATTATTCTTTCCCTCTTCTTGTCTGTATTCACATTGGTGTAAACATAATGTATCTTAGGAAACTTTATGCCTGATATTTCTTTGGTAAAGCTGATTATTTTACTAATTTGTTAATTACAGTTAAGGTTTTTGCTGTAAGTAGCAAGTCTCAGAAAGTATAACATTTGTTTGTGGCTTAACACAACCTCCCTCTTAATAATCAACATTTGATAATTTGAGCTCCAAATTATGTTCTTACTGATCCATGGTGTATATGCCCAGTAACGTATGTGTAATTCAGTTTATTAGATTTATTAATGCTTATTGAGAAGTAAGAGTTCATTGAATAAGTTTCTCTCTCTCCCTCTGCTTTGTCCCACATTGACATAATAGTTATGATTTGGGAATCACAGATTAATGATTCACGTATTTCCTGGGAAAGTTTATATTCTGTCTTTGTAACATGTCAGTATAGAATAACTGTTCTTAACTAGGGTGATATTTTCACAGGGAATATTTGTCGATGTCTGGGAACAATTTTCATTGTTCCAATTAGGAAGTGTTACTTGCATCTAGTGGGTAGAGGCTGCAGATGCTGGTACATACCCTACAGTGAATAAGAAGACATCTAACAGCAAAGAATTATTCCTTCAGAAATGTCAATACTGCCATTGTTGGCAAGCTGTTGACAGTATCTCTTAAAATGCTATTTTTGCTCATTCTTTTGTTGACTATTGTATACTGTCTAAAAGACAACCCATAGTTAACTCTCCAGCAAGTTTCCAGAGGCTTTAAATCTCACAGAGGAGAATTCCTATCTTTGTCCTGCAGAGCAGTTGGTGGATTCGAGCAGTGTACCTTTTTGATGGGAGTGCAATACCTTACTACTGTTGTTGGTATTAGTAGGCACTGTCTAGAAGAGCACTATTTATAGCGGCCCAATATACAGCAGATCTAAACCATCTTTTTCATCTCTGACACACTTGAAACCATTAGTTGGAGTCTTTTTTGACAAAATTGTGTTTGACAAAGTAACAATGTTCAATAATTGTCAAAAGTAGTGGACAAAACTTAAAAGGGAAGAAGTCTTTAATTAGAGATAATAAATGTAGCAAAGTTGTGGATTTTTTATTTTGTTGTCTGCATAAAAATTTAGATTCTAAGAATACTTGGGACTGAACATTTGTTCTTTGTAAAATTTGTATTTCATAAAGTATTACTTTTCAGTCATTTAAATACATTTTTTGCTTATGTTAGACTTCAAGAAAACCATGCAGATGAAATAAAAAAAATGAAAGGAGAAGTAGAGGATTTGAGATGTCTTCTGACCCAGTCACAAAAGGAATCACAGAATTTAAGATCTGAACTTCAAGCTCAAAAAGAGGCAAATTTGAGAGCTCCTACAACTACAATGAGAAATCTAGTAGAAAGACTGAAGAGTCAACTAGCATTGAAAGAAAAGCAACAGAAAGTAAGTAATTGTAGAATATTATCAGCATGTAGGAGAAATGTATGGTGTACTGCTTTCATATGATTAAGGGCTTTTCTGTTAACCAAAAGTTTGAAAGTTCAAACCTGCTAGTAGCTCCACAAGAGGCCTAGTGATATATTCTTACAGAGATTACAGACTCAGGAACAAAAAGTCGTTTTCTTCTGTCCTGTATGTCAACACTGACTTGATGGCATAAAACAACAATAGACTGCTTACAAAAGAGTTACAAGTATGTAAAAACTGGTAGTGCTATAAAATATAGTATAAAAATATAATGGTTTGAACAGAGTCCAGATAATTCTTTTAGATAGATGTATTGACTTTTTAAAACTAAATTCAAATGTAGTCTTGGTTTAATTTGTTTTGTTTATTAACCTGATTTCTAAATGGATGTCAGAAGAGACTAAAAGTTGCACTGGCGCATGAAAAAGCCAAAACAAAAGGAAAATATGCCAAAGTAAAAGTGCTGAACAGAAGATTTCAAAGAGCAGCTCAGCAAGACAAAGCAAAGTATTATAATGGTATGTGCAGAGAAGTGGAATTTGAGAATAAAAAGGGAAGAACTCTGCATTTCTCAAGCTGAGAGAACTGAAAAACAAATTTAAGCCTCAAGTAGCGGTATTGACATATTGAAAATGGCAATATTGATGCTATTGACAATATATTGAATGACCCAGAAAGCATCAAAAGAAGATGGAGGGAATACACAGAATCACTGTACCAGAAAGCCCTGATGGACACTGAAAAATTTCAGTACTATATGAACAGGAGCCAATGGTAATGAAGGAGGAAGTGGAAGCTGTATTGAATGCACTGGCAAAGAATAAGGCCCCAAGAATGGATAGGATAGCAATTGACTTGTTTCGGTTAATCTTGGATGCACTCACCAGTCTGTTCCAAGAAATGTGAACGCCAGCTGTTTGGCCAACAGATTAGAAGAGGTTCATATTTGTTCCTTTTCCTAGGAAAGATGATCCAACTGAATGTGGAAGCTATCAAACAGTATCATTAATATCACATGCAAGCCAAATACCTCTGAAGATTATTCAAAAATGTTTAAAACAAAACATACATAGAGAGCTGCAAGAAGTTCAGGTAAGATTTAGAAGAGGCTGTGGCACCAGGGAATATCATGGCTGATGTCAGGTGGATCCTGGCTGAAAGGAAGGAAATACCAAAATAATGTCTATTTGACTATGCAGAAGCATTTGACTGTGTGGGTCATAACAAGTTGTAGCTGGCATTGAGAAGAAATAGAATCCTAGTGAACTTAATTGTTGTTGTTGTTGTTGTTGTTGTTATGTGCCATCGAGTCGTTTGCGACTCATGGCGACCCTATGTACAACAGCCCTAAACTGTGCTCTATCCTGTGTCAATCTCATTGCCTCTGACAAACCCATCCTGAGCACCCCAGTCACTGAATCAACCCACCTCATAGAGGGTCTTCCCCTCCTGCGCTGTCCCTCCACTCTACCCAGCATGATGTCCCTCTCTAAAGACCTGTGTCTCCTTGTAGAAACTATATCTGGACCAGGAGACTGTTGTGTGAACAGAGCAGTGAAACACTGCATGGTTTAAATTTAAGAAGGGAGTGTGTCAGGGTTGTATTCTCTCTCCATACCTGTTTAATCTGTATGCTGAGCAAATTATTCAGAAGCAGGACTCTGAAGAGGAATATGACATCATGATTGAAGGGAGACTCATCAATATGCTGCATTATGCAAATGATACAACCTTGCTCCCTGAAAGTGAGGAGGACTTGAAGGACTTGTTGCAGAATATCAAGGAATGCGGCCTTTGATATGGATTGCATTTCAATGTTAAGAAAACAAAGATTCTTATCACTGGACTGGAAAGCAGCAGCATCATGGATGGAGAAGAGATTGACACTGTCAAGAGCTTCATCTTCAATCTATAGTTATCACCCTTAGTATCAGCAGTTATGAAATATGGAGTCACATTAGAGACATCTCCAAATTATTGAGGAGGAAAGATGTCAGTTTGAGGACTAAGGTGAGTCTGATTCAGGCCACGATCTTTCTCATTACTTGCTATGCATCTGAGAGCTAGACAGTGAATAAGGATGAAAAAGAAGAATTGATGCCTTTGAGCTGTGGTGTTGGAGAAAAGCATCCTAAGGACTGCCAAAAAACCAAATAAATAGGTCTTGGAAAACATGCAGCTGTAGTGCTTTTTGGAGTCAAGAATGATGAGGCATGGCCTTACATAGTTTGGGCTTGTTGCTAGGAGGGGTTGTTCCTTGGCGAAGGACATGATGTTTGGACAGATGGAGGGCCAGCCAAAGGAAGACCCTCAACCAGGTGGATTGTTGCAGTAACTGCCGCAATGGCTCTTGTGTATCAGGAAGTGTGAAGATGTCACAGGATAGAATAGGGTCCAGATGTTTTGTTCATAGGGTCACTATGAGTCATACTCAACTCAAAGGCCTGAAATTTACTTCTCAAGATCAGCCACGGGAAGCCCTGTGTTCACAAAGCTCCAATTTGCAATTGATCATAGACATGACAAGAAAACTAGGAAACATTTCATTCTGCTGTGTGCAGGTTTGTCATGCATCTGAGACATGCTCTGCAGAAGCTAACAGCAGTCGTGAGGAAGAGAGAATAAAGAGTAAATCTCAAAAATTAACTTGTTAGTTTTTTAGTTAGGTTTAATAAAATATGCAGTATTTTAGGAAAATAGTTTGAATGATCTTGTTTATTTATGCACAAATAAATGTTTTGTTCTTAACATTTAAGTGTATTTTAATTCTGAAATCTAAGTGTGTTTTAATCCTTAGGCTCTTAGTCAAGCACTTCTGCAACTTCGGGCAGAGATGACAGCAGCGGCTGAAGAACGTATTATTTCTGCAACTTCTCAAAAGGAGGCAAATCTCAATGTTCAACAGATTGTTGATCAGCGTACCAGAGAGCTAAAGGTGAACACCAGTACACTTATGAACATGACATTTTTGTAACTCCTACTTGAAGAGCAGTTACTTTAAATACATAGTAATTTTAATAGCAAGTAGAAGTGTAATGAATTATTAGTGGATAGGAATTCTGATGGCCTAGTAAATAAGGAGTTTCACTGCCAACCCAAACACAGGCAAAACGGTTCAGTCCATCAAGTTCTCCATGGGAGAAAGACAATTTTATCCTGTGTGATTTCTGTTGTTAATGTATTCTTATGTGCCATTGAGTCACTTGCAGCTAAAAGCAGCCCTATGTACAAGAGCCCTAAACCCTGCTCTATCCTGTGCCAACCTCACTGTCTCTGACACACGTACTCCCGTTTCCCTAATCACTGAATCAATCCATCTCATCAATGGTCTTCCTGTCTTGTGCTGTCTGTCCCTCCACTTTCCCGAACAGGATATCCCTTTCCAACAACTGGTCCCTCTTTGCAACATGCCCAAAGTATGTGAGACATAGATTCAGAATCCTTGCCTCTAAGAAGCAGCCCAGTTTCCACCACTCCAGGACAAACCTGTTTGTTCTCCTAGCAGTCCATGGTATATTCAATACTCTTCTCCAGCACCACAGCTCAAAGGCATTAATTCTCTTTCTGTCATCCGAAGTCACTGTCTAGCTCTCTGACGCATAGCATGCAATTGCAAAGACTGTGGCCCAGATCAGGCACACCTTAGTCTCCAGTCTGACATCATTGCTCTTCAGTACTCTAGAGAGGTCCCTGGCAGCTGACTTTCCCAGAGCAATTCATCTCCTGATGTCCTGGCTGCTATTACCGAGAGTGTTGATTGTGGAGCCAAGCAAACTAAAACTGTTAACAGTCTCAATCTCTTCACCATCCATACTGATGCTGCCAGTTGGTCCAATGGTTAGAATATTTGTTTTCTTGATGTTGAGCTTCAATCCATATTGAAGGCTATAGTCCTTGACCCTCTGCAGCAAGTGCTTCAGGTCCTCCTCAGTTTCAACAAGCAGGGTTGTATCATCTGCATAGGACAGGTTGTTGATGAATCTTCCTCCAATCCTGATGCCACATTACTCCTAGTACAACCCTACATCCCAGATGATCTGTTCTGCATACAGATTGAAAAGATATGGAAACAATATACATTCCTAGTGGACACCCTTGCCCATTTTGAACCATGGAGTAATTTTCCTCTCTCTAAGTGGACTTGTTATGGTCATGAGCATGAAAGACCATGTAGTTTATGGTTTTGGGTTTTTTTTAGTTATTTACTTGAAATTTAGATTGATGATTTCTTTTTAATACATATTAATAATAATAGATTTTCTGTCTTAATGCTTTTATTGTAAATATTCATTAATAAAACTTTTGTCTTTTATTAGTCCCAAATCGAAGATTTACGTGAAAATCTTTTAAAATTGAAAGAAACTCTTAAAACAAGTAAGAATAGAGAAAATACACTAGCTGATAATTTGAATGATTTAAACATTGAACTGCAAAAAAACCAAAAAGCCTATAATAAAATTCTTAGAGAAAAAGATGGAATTGAGAAAGAAAATGATGAACTGAAAAGACAAATTAAAAGATTAACCAGTGGATTGCAGGTAATTTCCTATTTCATTTTGATATTTTTCATATATAGTTTATATGTAGTACTTTATTCCTGCCAGATATTTGTGTTTTTGTTGTTCTTTTTTAACTTATCTATCATGTTTGCTAAAACGCATTTTGAAATCACTTTAATGAATGTCAGGGAGCTCTGGTGGTTTTGTCTGCAGAGAGTTGCCCAGCTAACCTGAAAGTGGACTCTCTAGTGGTTTGAGTTTATCAGCCATTCCACAGGAGAATGGTGGGCAGTCTTCCCCAGGAGATTTACAAACTTGAAAAACTCAATGCAGGTTCAGCCAGGAGTTGATTCTGACTCAACAGGAGTGAGTTTGAGTGTTTTAGTTTGATTAGTTTAACTGACTCCGTCAGCAAACTTTACATTATTTCTGTGTCATCTTTATAGAATGCAGACACTACTGTGTTTTTATACGTACATATGAATATGTAATATAATTTTTAAAGTGTGGTTAGTAATAACCTTGAAAAGGTTCTGCAATTAGGGGAGCTCTGGTGGCCTAGTGGCAAGAAGCTGCAACTACAATCCCAGAGGTGCACGGTTCAAATCCACCAGATGCTCTGCCAGGGAAGGAGGGGCAATCTCCTCCTGTACCAGTCAGATCTGATTTGATGGTACACGCACACAAAAATAATAAAATAAAATAAAAAGGTTCTGCAATTATAATATTAATTTGGTGGTGTGTGTTTGTTGTTTTTCTTTTTATTTCTAAAATGTAAAGACCTATTTTTTTTTAGGGCAGACTTATGGTAGATAATAAACAGAGTTTAATCGAAGAACTCCAAAAGAAAATTAAAAAGCTGGAAAGTGAACTTGAAAAAAGGACAGATGAAGCAGAGTTAAAACCTGTGAAAGAAAAGGTAGTGAAAGAAGACATGTACCGATTATTAATGATGATTAAAAGAGTGATTTTATTGTTATTAGATGCCATTGAGTTGACTATGGCTTATAGTGATCCTGTGAACTGTATATCTGAATTTTGCCCTATCCTTTGCTGTCTTCACTATCTTTTTTACATGAGATGATTGTTATGGTCAAATAGTTGTTGAGTCAAGTATGACTCGTAGCGACCCTATGAACAGCCAAACTGAACTTTGCTCTATCCTGTGCCATCTTCATCATCTCTGACACACTTGAGTCCATTGTTAAAGTCACAATATCAGTCCATCTCATTGGGGGTTTTCCTTTTCTTTGCTGACCCTCCATCTTTCCAACCGTGATACCCTTTTTTAAGACATAATCTCGGGAATTATTTATTTCAAGTAAATGTTTTGACATTGCTACACTTAAAAGCCATAATAAAAATAATCATGTAGTTGCACCTTCACTTAGCATAAAGTGAATTAAAAAATGTAACTGAAGATAAATGCAATGTGTGTTTATAAGTAGGCAGCTCATTAGCTTTCCCTCTAAGCAGCACCATTATTAGGATTTCTCCTAAACATATCTTTTGTTGTTGTTTTTTTTGGCAGTATATAGAATATTCAGTACCCTTCTCCATCACACAGTTCAAGGAAATTGATCCTTTTTTTGTTGTCCTCATTTACTCTCCAATTTAAAAGACCCATCATTTGGATCAGGCACACGTTGATCTTTAAACTGGCATGCTTTTTCTTTGGAACTTTGGAGAGATTCTTGCCCATAGATTTTTCCTAATGCAACATGTCTTAATTTCTTCACTATTATCACCATGTTGATCTCTTTTGGCCTAATGGTAAAGGAGTATGCTACCCATCCCAAAGCACACAGTTCAAATCCACCAGCCGCTCCACATGAGAAAGTTGAGCAGTCTCCTCCCATGTGATTTACTGCCTCACAAAACCCACTGGAGAGCCAGCTGTGGATTGCTTCTGATGCAACGGTACATAATAACAACAACAGCAAAAAACTGTTTCACAGGGTCTCCGAGACTGTCAATCCTTTTGTGTACATCTTTCTTCCATGAAGCCCTGGTGAGTTTAAACTGGCGATTATGTAGTTAGTAGCCCAGTGCTTCATCTGCAGTGTAAGCGGGGCTCTTTTACTGGGTTTATGATTAGCATGAAATAACTATCCGTTGGATGAATCACGTAATTCACTGAAGACTTGAAAAGAGGCTCTGGCGCTAAGACATTGTCATGGAATGACAACTTTGCGTTGGTGTTTTGCAGATGTAGAGTATTTGTCCCAAAGTTACTTTTAGTCATAACTGTATTATTGTTGTTGTGTATCGTAGAGTGAGAATCAACCCATAGCTGACCTTGTGGTGGGCTTTCAGAGGCAGTTCATTTCACAGAAGGAGATTGCCTGACCTTTTCCTACAGAGCAGCTAGTGTATTTGAACCACATGCCCTTGGGATTGCAGCACAGCTTCTTGTCACTAGGCCACCAGTGCTTTCTCATAACTGTATTAGAATTTTATATTTAAAGACTTGAAGGTGTTGGCATTAGTTGAAACTGTTTTCCCCCAATTTTTTTTCTATCAAGTTGTCCAATTAAGTATACTTAGGATGAGAGGCATATTTGCTAATTGTTGGGAATGATTCAAGTTTCTAGAATTTGCACAACAAAATGAAACTACCTACATTTTTTTTCTAGAAAGTATTCATTTACTTCAGTTAATGTAAATTAAGATTGATCAGAAAATCTTAAAATGTAATTTTTTTCATCCTTTGTTTTTTCTCAGAGTGCTAGAGAAGAGTTAATTAGGTGGGAAGAAGGGAAAAAGTGGCAAACCAAAGTGGAAGGAATTAGGAACAAATTAAAAGAGAAAGAGGGGGAAGTCTATACTCTAACAAAGCAATTGAATACTTTAAAGGACCTTTTTGCCAAGTGAGTTTAAATTTAATTGTAAAACTAGTAATGGAAAAAGTCTTCTTTTATTTATGTAGTTTTCTTGTACCTCATAGTATTAGAATAATGGGCATTTATTTGCCCATTATTTACTAATTTTTATGTTCTTTTAAAATGTGTTTTAAAAATCATTGAACACTTATAAATGGAGCTTTCTGTGGTTTTGAAATAAATTACCTCATAGAAATTACATAACAATAATACTGTATTATTATTTTATGTTGGTCAAGTTATGAGTAATCTGCAGATTAATAAATTAAACAAACTAAATGGTGAACAGTTGGCCTCTCACAGTTTTTTCATCTTTTCATATTAAATCCTACAGAGCTGATAAAGAGAAACTTACTTTGCAGAAGAAACTGAAAACAACAGGCATGACTGTTGATCAGGTTATAAGATTACGAGCTTTAGAATCAGAAAAAGAGTTAGAAGAATTGAAAAAAAGAAATATTGACCTGGAAAGTGATATAACTTATATGAGGTAAGCTATTAAATGGAATGTACTAGTCCTTGATAATGAATAAAAATTGGTTGATTCTGTTACTGGTAGGTATCACTGAGTCCACCACAACCTCTAGCACCCCTGTGAACAACAGATCAGAACCTGGCCCTGTCCTGCACTGTCATCATGATCTCTTTCATGCTCAAGCTCATTGTTGCAATGCTTGTGTCCTACTGTCTTGTTTGAGAGTCTTTCACTCTTTCACTGACCCTCTACGTTTCCCAACATGATGTCTTTTTCCTTCATTGACTGTGAAATGACTAATACTCATATTTTAAATGAATTTATACTTTGCTTATTCGTGTCTCTTTGAGTTATAATTTCCTGCATTAAATATAGTACTAGATCTAATTTAATTGTTGTTGTTGTTATGTGCTGCCAAGTCACTTGAGACTCATAGTGACCCCATGAGCTCTACAATAAAAGGTGATCCAACAGGGTGATGAAATTATTGAACAATATCATTGATATCACATGCAAGCAAAATTTTGCTGAAAATTATTCAAAAATGACCAGAACAGTACATCAACAGAGAACTGCCAGAAGTGCAGGCTGGGTTTAGAAGAGGCTGTGGTACTATGGATATTACAGCTAATGTTATATGGATCTTCACTGAAAGCAGGGAGTACCAGAGGAATGTTTTATGTTTCATTGACTTTGCAAACGCATTTGCCTGTGTGGACCAGAACAAACTGTCACTAACTCTGAAAAGAATGGGAGCCCCAGAACACTTGGTCATGATTATGCAAAACATGGACCAGGAGACAGATGTCAGAACAGAGCAAAGAAACATCGTATGGTTCAAAATTGGGAATGGTGTATGCCAGGGATGTGTCCTATCTCCATAACTCTTCAATCTATATGCAGAACAAATTATCTGGGAGGCTGGGTTCTATGAGGAGAAAAATGGCATGAGGATTGGAAGAAGACTCATCAACAATCTGAATTATGCAGATGATACAACCCGGCTGGCTGAAACTGAGGAGAACCTGAAACACTTGCTGCAAAAGGTCAGATATTGCAGTTTTCAATATGGACTGAAGCTCACCATCAAGAAAACAAAGATTCTCACCATTGGGCTGATTGATTAGCTGCATCATTATGGATGGTGTAGAGATTGGGATTGTTAACAGCTTTAGTTTACGTGACTCCACCATCCACACTCTCAGTGCCAGCAGCCAGAAAATTAAAAATTCATTGCATGGGGAAAATCTGCTTTCAAACACTTCTCCAAAGTCCTGAACAGCAATGATGTCATTCTGGAGACTAAGGTGCTCCTGATCCAGACCATAGTCTTTGCAATTACTTGAAATGCATCAGAAAGTTGGATATTGACTAGCGATGACAGAAGGAGAATTGATGCCTTTGAGCTGTGGTGCTGAAGAGTATTGACTATACCATGGACTGCTAAAAGAACGAACAGGTTCATCTTAGAGTGAAACCAGGCTGCTCCTTAGAGGCAAGGATTCTGAAGCTCTGTCTGACATACTTTGGGACATGTTGTAAGGTGGAACCAGTCCTTGGAGAGGGATGTCATGCTTGGGAGGTTGGAGGGACAGCACAAGAGAGGAAGACCCTCAGTGAGATGGATTGATTCAGTGATGGGGGAGCGGGGTTTAGGGCTGTTGCACATAAGGTCGCTATGAGTTGCAGGCAACTTGACAGCACATAACAACAACAACAATATATTAGTATTAGTGAGCATGAGCACTGGTGGTCTTTTGGCAAGGAGTTGCAGTGCAGTCCTGAGGACAAGCAGTTCGAATCCACTAGCTGCTCTGAGGGAAAAGAATGGGCAGTCTCCTTCCCTATGATTAACTGCCTCTGAAAACCCGCCAGATGATTAACTGCCTCTGAAAACCTGCCAGAGGGTCAGCTATGAGTTATTTGGTTCCTACCAAGTCAGTTAACAAAACAATACTAATGTTGTGATTCTTTTACTGTTGAATTTAACAGCCTTCAGTAATAAGAGAAAATATATGTAAAATCACTTATATATGTTTAACAAGTAGTATTTCATGAGATTCCCTGACTGTGTCATTATCTGTAGAGAATTTTTTTTGTTTAGGGGTTTCCCCTTCTTTTTTTTTTTTTTCTTCTTAAAATTTTATGTTTGTTTGCATTCAGAATTCATATACATTGTGTTTCATTCATGTACATTGTGTTTCACACATGCCTTCATTCATATTGTTTCATGTGATCATTCATATAATGTGTATGTGTTATAAAATTCATAAAATGTGCATGTTTTGAAAAATTATGACCATTGATCTGTGCCTGCTATTACCCCACCTTTTCAAGTCCCCATTGAATATTTCCTAATTCCTCCACTCCATCTTTCTGCCCACCAAACTCTGTCATCTCTGTGATTTTTCCCTTCCTCTCTAGTTTTATCCCCTCTGCCTTCTTCCACTTCCCTTTTTGGAATTTTTTTTTTAATTTTATTTTGTTAATTTTAATGACCATTTACAGAGATTTTGGATTTCCATTCATTCATTGTTGCACTTTCTCCCTGCCCAGCCTTCCCCCCCCCCCCCCCCCAGTTCACTCCTCTCTTTGAAAAGCAAAAAAAAAATTCCTTCTTTGGTATACAATCCCCCCGCACCCCTCCCACCACTCTGAGTACACGCCACTATGCAACCTTAATTCTGGACTCTTGTGATAACCATAATAACTTATCATATATTGCTTTTAAATTATTCTCTCCCTCATCTGTTTCAATGCAGTATACATAATTAACCCAGTTTTTCTCAGTCTTACCCCAACCCTGATGTCAGTCCCATTCTACAACAGTGGCACCATGTAATATTTGTCCTTTTGTGACTGAGATATTTCTCTCAGCATAATGTCCTCCAGGGTCACCCATTTTGAATAATATTGCATGAATTCCTTGTTTATCAATGCAGTATAGTATTCCATTATGTGAATATATCACAGCTTCACTGTCTATTCGTTGTTTTTGGGCACCTGTGTTGCAGACCGAGGGTCCCAAAGAATGGAATAATTTTATAATTATTAATAATGGGACAAACAGCCAGGAATGAGATAGAGCAGAGAGCATAAAACAGGGGCCAACAGTTCTCTACTGAAGACCCTGAGCCAAGCTTCTCTGTATCTTTATTGAAAATTATCAGGAAGTAAATCACAAAGAGAATTCAATGCAAATGAAGCCAAGCTCTTTCTATTGAAAACCTTCTGCTTGACTCAGGAGGGAAGGGT